CTATCTAGCATGAAGAAACCATTGTTGGGGGGGACAGTAAAGTGTGATATTTTAATTCCCACTCTTAGAAAAATGGTTATTAATTCTGTAGGTTTTATGCTATTGTAAGTTATGTTCTTCCATTTGCTATTACTTGCTACACAGTAACTTTTTCTCAGATCTCGGTACCAAACAGCATAATAATAAGTTATTGTATCAAAGATAATACAACAAGCAATTAACTAACAAATTACAAAATAAGAAATAGGAATAAAAAATACAGTAACTCCTCACTTAAAGCTGTCCCTGTTAACGTCGTTTCGTTGCTAATCAATTAGGGAACGTGCTCGTTTAAAGTTGCGCAATGCTTCCTTATAACATTGTTTGGCAGCCGCCTGCTTTGTCCACTGCTTGCAGAAAGAGCAGCCCGTTGCAGCTAGCTGGTGGGTGGTTGGAACCAGGGTGGACTGACAGCTCTCCCTATCAGTTCCCCGCTCCCCTAAGTTCCCTGTGCAGCAGCTGCCCAGCAGGCTATCAATTGCAGCTGTCCCTCCCCCCAGTGCCATGTGCTGCTCCTGCCCTCTGCTTTGGAGCTGCTCCCCAAGACTCCTGCTTGCTGTGTGGGGGGGAGGAAAAGGAGGGCTAATGTCAGGGTGTCCCCCTCCCCCCTGCTCCTGCACCCCGCTTACTCCTCCTTCCATAGAGCAGGGGGGACACACGACAGAGGGAGCTTCCAGGCAGCAGCAGCTGCGGTCCTGTCTCAACTTGCTGATCTAATTAACAAGGCAGTGTACTTCTGACTCCATTCTTCATACTTAAAGGGGAAATGCGCATCTCTCTCTCTCTCTCTCACACACACACACACACACACACACACACACACACACACAGTGTGTGTCTCTGCCTACCCTCCCTCCTTTCCTGCTGCCTTGTACAGTAAGAGTGTGAGTGTTAATCCTTGAAGGCTCAGCCCATTGCTAGTTCATCATTTAGCAGTAAGGCATTCCCTGGAAATATCCCACCCTCTGACTCCTCCACCTCAACCAAGCTTCACAATCATCATCACTGTGTACCAGTATTATATTAAATTGTTTGTTTAAAACTTATACTGTGTGTGTGCCATATATGTTTATTAATTCTTATGGGGAAATTGGATTTGCTTAACATCGTTTCGCTTAAAGTCGCATTTTTCAGGAGTTACTGTACAGCAAATGGCACAGATAATGGAAAAACACACCTGAAAAAAACTGAGATCAGACATAAATTGCAAACTAGAGCATACACAATTTTTTCAGTTATAAAGGGGCTACTGATGCTTAGATAATGGGCCAGATTTACAAAGGGATTTAGGTGCCTTAAGATGCAGGTAGGCACCTAGTGGGATTTCAAAAGTGCCTATGTAAGTTAGGCATTTAAGAGAAGGTCAATGAGAATTAGACATCTAATGGGTGCTTTTGTATATCCCACTAGGCACTTATCTGCATTTTTAAGCACCCAAACCCCTTTGTAAATCTGTCCCAGTAACAAAATATTGAGTTTGACTCATAACAATAGAGCCTGCCTAAATATTTCCCACTTGAACAAAGGTTGCAGTGAAGGTTTCTAGGACTCCCCAAAATGAAATGAGTAGCAGAGTTTTCTATAGACTTTAAACAGTTTTTAAAAAATTAAGTAGGTTGACTGCTCAGACACCATTGCAATAAAATACATCACAAATAAGCAAAGCATGAACCAAAGTTTTAGCTGTTTACACTGTCAAGTATTTACAGTCCCTGGAAAAGTTAAACAGGTGAAACCTGCATGATTCAGCAATGGAACTCGTATTAGCATCAAATGACAAGACCTAATCAAAAATAACTCCTCTTAATTCTCCATAGCTGATGAAGTTTAAATGGGATGAATTAACTTTCAGAAGACAGGAACCAGAGATAGAAAATTAATTACTTACCCTGAGCTTTAAAAGACATTGGTCTTATCCATATTTAACATCAAAAAGTTCTGATGCACTTATCTGGATACATTCAGTAAGAACCTTGCAAACCAAAGGTGAAATCCTGGCTCTATTGAAATCAATGGCAAAACTCCTATTGACTTCAGTGGGGCCAGAATTTCATTCCACAAGTAGATTGTATAGGGAAATATTGGAAAGGATGTATACATCTGGACAAAGTAGCACATAAGCAGTAGTTTCATCCATGTAATGTAATATCACCGATTAGTAGAAGATGTGGAGAAAGTACCATGCCCAAAACTGCAATCTGAGGTATACCCAGAGTACAATCATAAGCATTCCCTGGATAAATTATTCTTTATGAATTATACTCCCAGCTCTATTGATAATCAGTCTGCTCAACAATAAACAGCAAGATAAGAGGGAAATCATCTTTGATCTATTAAGAGCAAATGTGCCAGTTGTATCACTGTAGGAATGTCTGAGAGGCCTTTTACCTGTATAACTGCCCCATCCAAGTATTGGAGCCACTGACCAGAAGAAAGCTGCTATCCAGATGAGAACCAGGGCCACAGTGATGCTGCTGTTGCTAATGCAATGCCCTGGAACATACAACACAGTGAGAAAATGGCACTTAACACACTGACCCTTTCCAGATGAAATCTATTCACATTGGACTACTGTAAAGATCATGGAGGGCTAATTGGGGGAATCCTGGTACTTGAGATAATTCCCAGACTAAAAAATTGTTTTTAAATGAAAGGTAAGGTTGAAAGTATATATCAGTGACTTGAATGTTCAAGATTTTGCAAGGACATTGGAGTTAGATGAAATTAGATTAGATTAAAAAGTGATAGATACATTAGATATGCGAGAATTAGGAAATTGTGTTATAGCTACAAGAAACATATATGAAATTTTCAGTTTTGTAAACCTTTAAAAAGACAGGAAATTATAAGTTTAATTTAACATGAAAAAAGAAAAACGGAAAGAATGGAAATTCACAAGTATAGCATTCAAATAACATTAACTCTGCCCCCGCACTGGTAGCCAGAGGAAAACAAATCAGAAACTCAAACTACCTTATTCATCCAGCAGAACGCTTTCATCTCATCCATGATCAGAGAAACCAGAATAACTTACTCTTAATCATACAGTGGTTGTGCCAATTCCAGCCTTCTTTAAAGGGATATAAAGGCCACAGAAAAAGATATCCTTTACCTGACTAGATTAGCAAAGTACTCGCCTCACTTTTCATTAAGATTCCATGTGCCATCAGTTACACAAATATCATTAGGCCCATGTGCTGCAGTCTGCACATGCAAACCTTTCAGTGCCAGACAACACATAGGAAAAGTATTTTAACCTATTACATTTAAAAGAAATTTCTGCTTTCCAGACAATAGGTGTAGACAACTGTCTACATATATTTTTCTGGGGTTGTCTGGTTGTGACTTGTGATAGGATTTAGCCCAGAGTCCAGCCCGCTCAAATACTGCGAGTGCCTTCTGGAATGACCCTTACATTTAACTCTGGCACAGATATCTCAGATATGTATTTTAATAAAGTTATTGCTTTCCCCATACTTACCATTTTTCCTACAGAATATGAGCCTCAAGTGTGTCAAAGGCAAAAGGCTTTTAGTTACTCACATTTCTAATGGTTTTAATTAACGAATTCCACTCTCTTCTCTTCTTTGTCCTTGATTCCCAAGCTGTTGATGCTGTCATTGGATGGGAGGGGTTCTGAATGATCCTACTTATTAAATACAGGAAATGTTTTCAGCCTGAGTCCCCCAAGTGCTCCACTGTGTCCTCCCTTACTCTCCCATGCCCTCCCCTATCAGGGATAGTTGAGCACAGTTTCCATCGTGCTCCCTGATCTGGCCTGACTCCAGGGATAATGAACCTGCAGTTTCTGCTACGGCTTGGCTGCATCAATGGCCCCTGATAATGTTGCAGGCAGCAGCAGCAATAAAGGAATGGGAAAAGCCACATGGGCCAAATTCTGATTCATACGGAGGCCCGTTACACTATGCAGCAGTGTAAAGCGGCCTTAAAGTGGGAGTAACTTGCATTTACACTCCATTACACTGCTGGAGTGGCATAAGGGGCCTTAGAATAAATGAGAATCTGGCTTATACATAGGTTTAATCTTCAGTTGTGTAAGTATTCAAAGCAGGCTTTTTAAGTACCCTCCTCTAACCAGCAGAAGTTCTGGAAGCTTGGCTACAATGTGTGCAGCCCTGCTCCCTGAGTCGATGCAATTAATTTGGGTCTCATGGGAGCAGCGGTGACTGGCTGAAGAGGTAAAACTCTGAAAGAGGAAGATTTCTTTAGAGCACAGAGAGCTGTCCAGGACACTAGACTCCCTGTGGTTACTTAGGGCTAGATTCACAAAGGAACTCAGGCACCTTGGGCTAGATCCACAAAGAGATTTAGACTCCTCATTTCCACAGAAATCAATTTCTTGGGCATGGGGTATTCTGGGGCAGATTTTTCTCAATCTCTCCTGGGCACCTGAGAGAGAATTACTCTCAGAGGTTAGGGCACTCATCAGGGATGTGAGCGAGCCAGGTTCCAGTCCCTCTGCTCCAATGCATATTTATTTGTTTATACACAGTGGAACAGCCTCAACAGGAGAGATTGAGAGAGACCCCCGAATAGCCCATAGCCCAATGGTTAGGGCAATCTCCTGAGATGGGTGGGAAACCAAAATCCAAGTTCCTTCCCTATATTAGATGGGGGGGGGGGTAGAGGAATTGAACCCAGGTCTCCACATTCTGGGTGAGGGCCCTAACACCATTGGGCTAAAAGTTAAGGGGGCACGATCACATCCTCTGGCTGTTTTGTGTGGGTCTAGGTATGTCCAGAGCATGCCTACCAAATTGGGCCCCACAAGCAAGATAGGTGGGGGAACACCTAGTTTGAGGATCCTTCTGGGGCTTAGCTATGATGCCCAGGCATCTAGGCTGAGGTGGCTGTGACCTTGCTCTCTGGTAGAAACTTAGGTGAGAGAGACATACATTTAAAATATGGCTAGATATGATACAATAAATACAAAATATGGAACACAGCCCAGCCTAATTCTGACTGCCCCAGCACAGACTGAGTTAAAAATGAGCCTTAACAGATATATCAATGACAAGGTGCATTGGTTCTTGTGCAAAGGTGGAACTTCCTGCAGAATATATATTGCCTTATCAGGGTTGTTATTGCCTATGCAATTAGAAATATCATTTATATAACACAGTAAATTTATACGGTTCTTTATATACAGAGATTGAGACAGGATCCCTGCCCCAAATCTTACAGCGTAAGTCACACAAAACGAAGACAAAAGACAACACTGGAGTTGTGAGATAGCATGGGAAACTATTGATTGGAAGACGATAGGGAGAATTTCTGGAAGGAGTGGGTTTTAAAGAGGGATTTGAAGTAGGTGAGCAAGGGCTTTTGATGGGAGATTTCTAACAGGAGAGGAGACACAAAATGAATAATGGGAGAAGGACATCAATGATCTGTTAAGTGGGACGATTGGGAAAAGGGCAAGAAGCAGATTGGGTATAGGTGGGAATAAGAGCAGAAATGTAGATGGTGGCATGGTTATGTAGGGCTTTGTAGGTAGGTGACAACAAAGAGTATGAATTGAACAGAGTAAGAGATAGGAAGCCAATGGTGGAGGTATTCAAAGTGGTGTAGAGCAGTGGGAGAGGGAGATAACTTTGGTAGTGGTATTTTGGATAGATTGGAGGGCACAGAGGTTAGAGAAGTATACAGTAAACAAGAAACCAGCACTTGGGAAAAGGTTTTAGGGGCAGAGGTTGTGAGGAAAGGGTGATTTTCCTCTATTGAAGAGGAAGAAATGACAGGACTTAGGCCTTGGCTACACTTACCCGGTAGTTCGGCGGCGAGCGATCGAACTTCTTGGGT